ATTAACCTTCAAATCTTCCTAACGTTATTGAATTGGATGATTGCATACGACAACCCAAAACATTCCCCACAAGTCCCCTACATGATTGCATAATAGAGATACAAGCAAGAATCATTACGCTCTATGAAAATTATAAGTGTTGACGAGGCATTCGTTACTATGATTGCATGAAACTTATGCCAAGAATTCGTTTAACGCGATTGTTTATAAGCAACCTCCACTACTTGTGAATATAAGTTCGTAACTATTAGGTGAAACTCACTTATATTCTAGCGTCATATTCATGCATGAAAATTAAGCGTATACTCTCAATAAACATACATAAATAAGTTATCAATCAAACAGTTAAACAAATTGAATCCACAACTTATGAAACGCAATTAGAAGTAATCAAATCAAAATGCAAGCATAAACATATATTTTGAATCCCCCCCTAGCCAAGGGGGGGGTTTAGTTCCTCATACGTACAAAACAAAGAGAATTGAAATTAAACATTGGAATCGAGGAAAAGAAACACCTAAACATTCCAACAACTCAAACTTGAATTGTATGAACGTTTAGGCACTCTTCTCCTCCTCTTCGTTGTAGCACAAGGTCTAAGGATAGGTTTGGAGGGATGGGGAGTTATGGATGGTGTAGAATGATGTGTTTAGGATAGGGATGGATGTAGGGGACCTCAAGGCTTCTTTTTGTGCAGAAAATATGAAGAATGGTGAAGTATGGATGTGTTATAGAGAGGGGATGAATTTCTGGCGTGAATGGTGAATGAATTGTGTATGAATGGGAATGAATGAATTGTGGCTGCAATGGATGCTTATTTATAGGTGAAAAGGAGGGAATATGACAGCTAGGAACTTGGTGGAAATCTGAAATGGTGATGGGAGATGCATGTGGCTGATTTATGCATGTGATTAAAGGGTAATGACAGCTAGGTTATGATGATGAATGCATGTGCAAAGTTGGATGAATGATTATGGGTGCATGTGGCTGATTTATGGTGCAATGATGAAAGGCAAAGTGCATGTGGCTGATTTGTGAAGGGAATGCATGTGGAATGAATGTGTGAATGATGGCAGATTGTGTATGTGAATGATTAGGGTGAATGTGCATGTGCTTTGACAGCTAGGTTGAATAAATTAAAGGGAGTGCATGTGGCTTGGCTGGAATGATTGGAATGCAATCTGAAATGGGATGTGTTGGTGTGAATTTCTGGTACAAAGGGCCTCCTTTGGTCTTCAATTTCGTCCATCTACTTGGCTTCAAGTATATCCAATCCATTTAACGCCCCAAACTACTCCAAAATGCACCAAAATGCACCATTTTGCATACTTTGCCCTTAGAACCTGAAAACACACAAAAGAAGCATAAAGGACTAAAATAACTAATGAAACATAACGTAAATGCACGAGAACAAGCCATTTAAGTCGCATGAATATGCTCCTATCAACTTGCTCCAAGAATTTAGTCTAAAATCGAAACCCCTTATTTCGAGTGGGCCAAAATCATTTTTACGGATAAACACATTAAATCAGTTTTTCTATGAAATCACTTAACTGATATTGACCTCTTCAAAATCACTCTGAATCACCTTAATTCCTTGTGTTTACTTTTTTTTAATGACAAAACAATAGGATAATGTACATTAAATTTATCTAAAGCAAGCTTAAATCTTCATATCCTTTCCTTCTATTGGGACAAATGTTTTGTAGCAATAGAGCATGGAGACTTTCCCCAATGCACAACAAAAGTGCACATTTAAATTGCACACTAGAACAAAGAGTCGTTTCATCATTTAATTTGACGAAATTAACAACTTTAATTTATTCTGTTGCGGAACTTATATATAAATTTTATTGTGCAATGGAGAAATTGTAATGGAGCAGGGCAAATCGAAAAGGCAAACCCTAAACCAATTTCAGCCCTCATTCAACTCTCAAATCCGACAAACTCATGTTTCTTGGCCATATTCCATTGTCATATATTAGGTTTGAGCCTTTAGGAGACAATTACATCGGAAACGTAGTCCTAGCAATTCAGGTTTAGCCTAGTGATGTTAGAACGTTGTTCCCATCTCCAACTTTGAGAAAATTATATATTCGTGGAGTCGGATGAGATTTAAATACAGTGAAACTCGTTTCTTTACAATAACGCATGATTATCTATCCTACTAAGAAGACGTGGTAGTAATATTCATCTAGATTTATAAGTGAAAAGTACTAAATTTGACTCATTTAGATAACGAGTTTAATACCTAATTATTCATTACATGTTCAATGAAGTAGTTTAAAAAAAAAAAAAAACAAAAAAAACAAAAACAGTTGAGTTGTATATGCATTGTAAGCAATAGAAGTCAGGGATGAAGCAAACCATTGTACACTAACTTTGTTACCTAATTTTAATCATCTTGTGTTGTGGGAGACTCGTGTGGTACTTTTCACTGGGAATATCATGGCTTAAAATTATTAATTAACCCCTGTTCGTCTACTTGTTATTCATCAACCCACTTAGAGCACCGTTCGAAAACACGAAATAAATTGAATGAAATCCAAAACTATTGCAAGTTTTGAATAGTTTTCTATGAATTGGGTTTTAGGCTATAAACACTGGCTTGAAAACTGAAAGAAACATCATCTTTGTCAACAATCAAACCTAGTGGTGGCATGGACTCAATCTCAACGGTTGGGAATGGAATCTTCTTGAAGTTTAGAATCGCCGGATTCCACAAAACAAATGTTCGAATGAATATCAAACCGTTTTGGAGTGGCCCCCTATGAAAGTAGAAGCCCATGCATGCTTGTTTCAAAGGCTCCTCTCCGCTGCTGCCAATGGTATCGTCGTCGTGAAAGGGCAATACCAAGAACTCATCGGGTATATTCGATGATCAATGTTCTTGACTAAAATACTGCGGAAAGATCGAGTTGTTCGGAAGGAGCGTTGTGTTCATGAACGGTAGCATTTCAAACTTTGCAAACACATGTAGAACTCCTCAGAAGGGAGCCGTACAAGGACTTCAACAAGTAACTCCGGTGGTAAGTCTGACACTTGAGGTTTAGGGTTAGAGTTCAGTTATGCAGTTTTAGGGTTTAGGCCCTAGGACGCCTTTTCTGTTCTGGAAACAGAGAAGCACGACATTAACGAAACACGAAGCGGACTGGCCGGGTCAAGTCCAAATGAACCCAACCATTGTCAGCCCACATTTAGCTTTCGGATCCGACGCTTCGTGTGTTTCCTTCTTGGCTGTTGTCAATTTCCGTTAGGAGACAATTACATGCGGACCCCTAGAAATTGAGGTTTAGCCTACCGATGTTAGAAAGCTGTCCCCATCATTATAACTTTAAAAAAAAAATAAAAAAATATGAAGCTTGAGAAAAAATTCGCTACGGAACTCTCATAAAGGGGACGTCGTATACATTAAAAGTCGAATTTGTGTTCAATAAAATGGATTAAAATAATGTGGAATTCGTTCCTTTGTGAAAGTATTAACTATATATCAAAATTTTCTCTTGTAATTATTAGAGTATAAAATGCAGGGCCACTAGCAATAAGTTGTAGTAGTTTATTTTTAGTTATAACTTGTAATTGAGTGGGTTTTAAGTTCAACTCGTCTCGATAGCGAGTTTGATATGGTGACTGATATGTGGCTTCGTCCACATCCCTTACTACTTAGTAGGATATCGTTGCATGTAAAACCAAATATATGAAACACTTGCAGAGATTGTGTTCCCATGTTGATTTTCTTCAGTTGGTTTAATATAACGGCCAGAAATTGAAATCATATGTGTGAGATAAAAACGGATATGTGAATAGCATCACCCAACATCTTAATCATGGAATAACTATTGATATAAAACAAGAAAAGGATTATTTTTAAATTAAATCAATCATCAAATAATAATAATAATAATAATAACATAGCTAGTTAGGTTGTTGTATTAGAGAAATTAAATTCAACACCACGTGAAACTAGATTTGCACTTGATTACTTAAACAAGAAGCTGATTAAAGTCTTTTTTTTTTTCCTCTTTAGTGTAAATCAACCCGACATTACCAAAGACTGTTGAAAAGGAGGGAAGGAATTCTTGTCTATATCATCGAATGGGAAGGATTTCTTCTCCATATTTCAACAAACTAGAAACAGGTTCACAATTCCCAACCCACATTTTTTTTACAAGTCAATTAGAATCAGATATTGAACTCACTATTTATATCAGTCGAACCCCTCAATTACAAATAAAAAAAAAATATCAAAAATCATAATGCTCATGACATGATTAATTCAATTTTAAATTGTTGACTTTGGTGAAAGAGTAACAATTGACCCATAGTCTTTGACACTCCAAAACGTTTGACATTTCTACACACGCAATGGGAGGAGGTCAAATGTTAAATTAGTTGTGTGAATTATTTAGACGTTAATTATTTTATAAATGATAAATTTTTAAAACTTAAATTAGAAATGGAAAAAGGATTGTTTTCGATACTAGTGATATTGGTGGAGCAGGATTAAAATTAAAACTCCAACTGCATAAGATACATGTAACTAATTAAGATACAAGCCTCTTGAGTCAAAATATGACCTTGAAAATATGATTAATTTGGAATTTTATTTGAACGCGTATGAAATAGAAAAATCATAAAGGGGACAGGATGAGAATGAGAAGGGATGGACTCTGTTCTAATTTATACAGCAGGGTAGAGATTATAGTATACATATAAAATGACCAAAAAGCCCTTATCCTGGCTGGATGACAGATACATATAATGCAATGACTGTATTTTTACGCACCACCATTTAGTGTAATGTATGTTCACCATTTTATGAGTTTGAATTTTGAGATTTGTGTTTATTTACTACATGAATCTCGAAATTCAAACTCATCTAATGATATGAATAGAATGATAAACATACACCACACTAAATGATGATGAACAATACAGTTTCCGAGCGGTCAACAATCCACATTGTCCACATTTTGAGGTTATATTTAATAGACTAGTTTTGTATTAATGCATCGAGTGCGTACAAAGTACAATTTGTACAAGCATCACCAGACGGCCGTCGCGGATTACGTCACAGCCAGAATCCACCATTTCTCCTCTGCAAATTCAATCAATAACAAAGCAGCAGTTTCGGTTTTTGACAATTCCAGCCTCCTCAGCCGCCTCTTACTGTAAATTCAGGTGCTTTTTTATTTCTTTTTCTTTTTTTCTGTTCAGCTGAGCTGCTTATAGATTCAGAGTACTGGTTTGTGTAGAGAATTTTAGATGTTGGGTTTTGAAGTTTGACTGGATTTTTGTACAAGTTTCTGGGTTTTGTGAATTGGGTTTCAAGCAATTCGTGAAAGTTCGGAACTTTTGGTGGTTTTAGGTGTTCGGATTGGTTTTGGAGGTACTTTTTCAGCTGGGTTTTCTGTGGAGCTTCTGAATGTTGGGGTTTTGAGTTGACTGGATTTTCATATGAGTTTGTGGTTTTGTGAATTGGGTTTCAAGTAATTTAGTAAAAGATTGGAATTTTGGTGCTTTGAGGTGTTGGGATTGGTTTTTGGGATACTTTTACCAGCTGGGTTTTAGATAGTTTTCCTATTTCCAGTTGTGAATTGGCTATTGAAGGCTTCGGTTGAATTCGTGGGCACGTCAAGAAATCGAATTCTCTAGTGGGGAACTATGTGAAGATATGTAACTCAATTTTCATCCGTTTCGTTTGATGAGGATTTCAACCACTGTGTAACGAATCGAGGTTCGAATTGCTCATTTCAGTGGCTGTTACATAAGAATCTTGCTGGTTTGGAGCAATTTGAGGTCCTAATTATCGGTAACAGTACTGGCAGAAACGAAAATTGTCAGTAACTTTGATCAGCTCCTTTCTTGTTTTTGGGATTCTCTCATCTGTCAATCTGGTGACCTGAGTTTTGTATAGGCTTTGGTTGAATTCGAAGGTGATGGCCAGACACTAAATTAGTGGGCTTTGGAATTTCTATATAGGTTGAACTACATAAGGTCTGTGTTTTTCGCATACTCTGATCTTTGGGCCTTTCTTCGCAACAACTTGACGAAGAATAGAATAAAGTGAGATGTTCCATCATTCTGTCAGTCCCAAAACGGGAGTTGAACAGATTATCCCCTTAAGAATGGCCATCGCAGTGGTAAGTCTATTGCTGTTTGTGCAGTTGCCAGCAATCTTTGCCTCTGAGTGTGTTATACAGTCAAGGGGTTGTAGCGATCACATTGCCTATTCAAGTTCTCATGGTCACAAATTGTTTTACATAAATGGGAATTCAGTGGAAAAAACTTTATTCTGCACGGCTCTTTGGACATACTATGCAAATGGTTGCATTTTGGAAGGCGACCTTGGCATTTACCATTGTGCATTGGACCTTTCACGTGGTATGATTGATATGATATATTACTTCGGTTGCTTGTTTTAAGTTGATTTATTACTTATGTAAAGCTTTTAGGACCTTTATTAAGTATTGCTTCTCTTGCAGTTGATTTTCCCTTGAGGACGGTGAGGAAACTTTTGCAGAAGGAGTCAAAGGATAAATCTACTTTTGACAACAAAGAAAAGAAAGATTTTGCATCTCTGTCTGCAACGACAAAAGTCGGAATAGCAGCAAGTGGAATGTTTCTTGCGTGTTGTGTTTTTCTTTGTCCTTGCTTCTTCAAAAAAAGGAGAGAAAGTGCTCACAAAGTTATTGCAAAGGAGCCAAATTCAAGTGAGTCTCTTGCATTAGCCCATCTATCTACAATTCAGAGAACAAATGCATTTTTGTTGCTTCTTATTAGTTTACCTCCTATTAGTTTCCTCACTGACTTCTTTATTTTGTTATTGATGCTAAATTGATTATCATTTTGCAGTGGATTCAGTTTCTTCTCTTGAAGTGAGTTCTGGTCCTGAAAAGATCCCAGCCAGTCTGCATCGTGCGCCACCAAGTCCACATCGTGTGCCACCAAGTCCACATCGTGTGCCACCTAGTCCTCGATTTTCAATGTCTCCAAAACTTAGTAGACTTGGATCAGTGCATCTCAGTTTGAATCAGATTGCAAAAGCAACTCGCAACTTCTCTCAATCACAAGAAGTTGGTGAAGGAGGTTTTGGAACTGTATACAAAGCCCGGCTAGATGATGGCCAAGTGGTTTCCATTAAACGAGCAAAGAAGGTATGGACAGTTCTATGTTAAAACTTTGTTGAGGGTTTCAATGAAATATTGGTAATTGCCAGTTTGTTTATGAATGGATCCTTCGAGCCCTAGCGGTGAATTGACTAGTTGCGTGTACTGGGTTCAGTTAGAAAATTAACATGCTGAAGTTGTATGTGTGTGACGTGGTTCAATATTTCAACATTGAAGTAGGCTTACATAGTCGGATTTCTGCATAGCATTATTTGTTGTGGAATTACTAGTGTTCATGTTGGCAATATTTCTATTGAACACTCAAGTGGATTTTTAAGGAAGTTTTTATTCTCATGTCAGTGATTCAATCAAATGATTGCTATTTTGTTAACATGGAAACTTTGTAACAGGAATACTTTGAGAATTTACAAACTGAATTCGGCAGTGAAGTTGAACTGCTTGCCAAAATTGATCATCGAAATCTGGTAAAGCTACTAGGTTATGTTGAAGAAGGAAATGAGCGCCTTATCATTACAGAGTATGTGGCAAACGGTACTCTTAGAGAACATCTGGATTGTAAGCTTACTCAAATCCTTTCATAACATTAGCTTGTTCTGATTTATAAAGTGATGAGATCGTAAATAATTATGCTGCTACACTGGCAGGTCAGCATGGGAAAATCCTAGAGTTCAACCAGCGACTTGAAATTGCTATCGATGTTGCTCACGCCCTTACCTATCTTCATTTATATGCTGGTAACAAACTCTTCATTTAATTCATGCATCACAGTTTTTGCTGAAGTTTTATATTTCGGGATACGAATGAAGAATTGGTTTCAATTTGTCAACCTGATTGATGCCTAATCTGTTATCCATCTCGCAACAGAAAAGCAAATCATCCATCGAGACGTGAAGTCCTCCAACATTCTTCTGACAGAAAGCATGAGAGCCAAAGTGGCAGATTTTGGATTTGCAAGGCTTGGCCCAATGGACGCAGATCGAACACACATTTCAACCAAAGTGAAAGGAACTGTCGGTTATCTTGACCCTGAGTACATGAAAACCTATCAACTCACCCCAAAAAGTGATGTTTACTCGTTTGGGATCTTACTAATAGAAATTTTGACTGGCCGTCGTCCAGTGGAGTTGAAGAGATCTGTTGAAGAGCGGGTGACCCTCAGATGGGTAAGTTGCGCCACTAAGAAATATTGATGAGAAATAGTAGTCAACATTCAACGAGATAAAAATCACTAACTATATAGTGTGCTATTAAAATGTGATATGATTACGTGGTATTATAATGTCATGTTACTGTAACGATTATGTCTGGTTTCAACATTTCGCAGGCCTTCAAGAAGTTGAATGAAGGGCGCGTGGTGGAAATAGTTGATCCTTTGATGGAGGAAAATATAGATGCAGAGGTTCTGATGAAAATCATCGATTTGGCTATCCAATGTGCAGCCCCCGTCCGAGTTGATCGGCCAGAGATGAAATGGGTGGGAGAGCAGTTGTGGACAATAAGGGCAGACTACCTCAGAAGTGTCAAGAGAGGGCAGTAGAGAAATCTCTCTCCATTCTTATTCCCTCACTGTTGTTTTCAACTTACCATGTAAAATTTGATTTGGTCAGACTCACAGACACAAGTTTGCTTTTCGTTTTGGCCTTTTTCTCGACATCTTTTTCGCCTTGAACATACTTTGGATGTGTAATTCTTTGATTACCAAATCTAGCGTCTCTTTATAACAATCGAAGCAAGTTCCGACAGGGTTCCAAATTTTTTATTTTCGCCGAGATTTCGCATGTTTAACTTCCGGCAGCGGTTGTTCAGCTGTAATTTCTTCACTATCCTGTTTTTGATCAACCATTTAGTTGGGAAAATTAACAAGCTAAACTATAAAAATCTATGAGACACTGGGACCGTCGTAAATAATAGAAGAAAAAAGTAACTAAATTATAGCTTTTTACAGTTGCACCCTGTCTTATTTTCCTTGTATTTGGCTGGGTACAAATAATTTCATCAGAGAGCAAAATTTCCACCTTTCCTGGTTTATCATGCTATCTAACGATATAAACTACTTCCCTTCCGGTCTTGAGCTCTCGAGGCCATGACAAACTCTGAAAACTAACTAGATACCGGACGTGTCATGATTTCAGACCGTCAAATGAAGATTATTTACGAGACCATCTTCGGGGGGAACTACAATGCTAGGCTGAAAATGCCCCTAAATGAGTTTTGGCGGGGATGGCAGCTGGAATCTTAATCTTTTCCACCTGCTACTCACCAGCATAGGGTGCAAGCTCAATATATGTTCTGGCATGAAGTCGTGCCTCGTCAATATACCCACCACGGGAGTTCTCTGCAATCAAGCAGCGTAGATATTACAAGCAATTAGTAAGAAAACTGCTATAAGGAATCATTCGAGCTTAGATGGATTGATAAATAATTAGCATAAGATCGTGCTGTTAGCTACAAAAGCTTCAAGGAATTTGCACTTACATTGGACAGCTTGGGTATCACAAGAAGGTGCCTTAAGCCAACTTCTCGGAAAAGTATAAGAGCCTTTGCCAGTGACATCGTTTCCACAACAGTATAAGGTGAAGTGTTAGTAAAGGGATGCAAGTCGATGAACATTTCCATCTCTTCCTCGGTTAGTTCTATATCTTCTATCTTGTCCCCTTTGCCTGAACCCCTCTTGGCAAAATCCACTGATGAGAAGAGTTTAAAAGAATCGGTGCTCGTGAGAACTGGGTTGGACACAAATGCTTTCTTCTTCAACAATTCAATAAGATGGGCACGGAGGACTATACCAAACAAAACAGGCGTTTCAGAAAGCGGAGGCTCATCAATCACAGGGAACCCATTATGCCCTGTAGTACGGAGGACGTGTACTATGTTACCAACCTTCTCAATGCCTTGAAATAGTTGAAGTGGCCCTGTTACCACATCTGCTACTGTCAGCTGCCGCATATATGGTTCAACATGACTTTCCAGATAGGGAAGACCCTTTGCTTTCATAATAAGATCATATATATTGCTATTGAAAGCATCTGCCGTTGTCTTTGAAACAAGAAGAACCACCATTATTAATGGCAGCAATAACAGATTATTGGTCAATTCCAGAATAATTACACATAGAGAGACCGTCATCCTCATGGTTCCACCAAGAAGAGCAGCAGCACCCAGCACAGCATATAGACCGTGATTGAGATTCGAGTGTTTACCAACCAGCATTCCAAAAAAACGCCCATAAGATGCACCAGTCACAATAACAGGTACGAAAAGACCAGCTGGCACAACCACCCCGTAGCTAAAGATACTCAAGAAAAAGCAGGTGACGAAAAATATGATCATCGAGGAATATTGAAACTCAGAATCAGTATTCTTGCTGAAAAGGTTTCTAATAGCATCATCATTCGTGTTAAATATGAGGCTGGCAAGGTCATTATAGTGACCAGCAGGACATTGAAACTTCTTGTAGTTACCAGACCGTCCAATGGTAGGGCAGGCTTCTACTGCATCACGTGGGCAAGGTCGACAAGTTGCAAGCCACGGTAATCCAAAAAGAAGACAAGATGTGAAAATGGAGACTGTACAAGCTATAAGAATTTTATAAACGACACCTCTCCTGGCCAAAGGAAAACATCAAGGGGATCTCAGTCAGCAAATATAGTGTTTTAGAACATTTTGAAAATACTAATCTGTGCATGCGTGACTAAGCTGAAGTGCTTACTCATGGATGATATTGTATATTCGGATAACTTTTGTTAATAGAGAATTGTATAGGCTGCCCAATATGCCGCCTACAAACCCAAGGAGAAGAACCGGAGGCACATCGGTAATGTGATATGATATATTTGCTGAATAGACATCAAACATTATCAGCCCCCCAGTACCAAAAAGCCCACATTTTCCGCTGTAGCAAACATCAATCAGAGCTCGAAGCACAATTGCGATTACAGCTGTTGTAAAGAAAGCTCTCCACAGAAGGGCACTTCTCCACCTACAAAACAAAAACTTGGTTGAATAAAATGTGCCAATCCGCTGGATCCCAATATGTATGGTTAAGTATTGAATATTGATACAAACGGAAACACTTAGTATATATATGCAATATATATATAATTGGAAATCCATTTTACACCCGTATGTCACGAATGCAAAGTGACGACATGTAATTGTATAGGATGTTTAGTATAAGAGAATTCAACTTGTTAGTGCTATGAATGAAAAGCAATGACCAAACAAACGAGTTCAGATAGAAAGCTTGATGTACCAAGATGCCATTTCTTCAAAAACAAAGAGTACCCCACCGACAGGGGAACGAAAGGATGCACCAATTCCAGCAGCTGCTCCACACGTTACGAGATCCCTACGATCGCGATCATTCTTGAAATATCGCAGCCATTTCCATGTCAAGCCATGCTTCTTCGATCCTCCCTGACCCAACAATGATGCAACACACGCACCGGTATGCACCATGGGCCCTGCCTTTCCAATAAGAAGAGAGGACGACACTGCAGTAACACTGCCAACAATCTGAAACAAAAGAAAAATATGAAATTTTGCAATCCGAATTTCAGTTGAGATCATAAATTATCATATGCAGAATTCATATAATATTTCAATGTGTAGGTTCGGATTACATGAGTGTGTAATTGTAATACCAACTATCAAGTTGCTAACTTTCGAACATATTAAACAAAACTCAGTTCACAACGGAAATTGGCAAAAGCTGCTTTGCTGAAAAGCAATTTACATAATCCAACAGCACTTATAAAAGCAAAAGCAGAGTCAATAGGTCACCTTAACAAGCAAAGTCTTTATTGAATATATTCCGGGCGCATCGACGCCGTTCAGGTACGCCTTCACCTCCGGTATACCGGACCCTGCGGCGGCGGGCGCCACGAAAGCGGTGACCACAACCGCGAATAAAGTCAAACCCAAATTTGAGAAGAAGAAGACGGCAAAAGCCAGCCAAAACCTGTAAAATCCCCAACAACAAAAAACAAAATTGAAGACAAAAAATCCACAAAAAACAACCAAAATTCAATCCTGAAGTGAAAGTAGAGCAACCTGCGCTGCAACATCATGTTGGACGTGACAACAAACTTAACGCCGGCGATGTTTTCGACGGCGAGGTTGTTGCAGAATGCAATGAGTCCGACGACGATGCCAACAAGGAAACACGAGACCCACTTCATGAATATGTACTGTAACACGTGGGCCTTCCCGCAACTCCGCCAGTCCTGCTTGAAGAACTCGTTCTCGAGAATCTCGTAATCGAGGCTCTCGATTGGGCGGACATTGGCGCCGACCAGCGCCACCTGCGACGTGGAGTTCGGGGCGTACCGCTGGTGCGAGATTAACGGGGCGGTGATGGATTCCGGGTCCTCCGCCGCATTGAGGCTGGCGTTGGTGTTGCCGTTGATGAACATGGTTCTGTGTTTTAGGGGTCGCGGCGGCGGACGGGCGGAGCGTTTAACTATGTGTCATGAGTCAGAACTCGAACTCGGGTGGAGTGTTGAGAGTAAAGTGGCTGTTTGTGTTTGTATATGTTTTTGTGTTGGTGGGCGCTCCCTCTGTCCCTGTCGATTCTTATTTGCAGAGTTTGCTGGAATCGGTACTCTTCCGCTATTGAGCAACGATACGCTGCTCCCGCTTCCAATTTTGGTTCTATTAAATAGTTTATTTTTTTCCGTCTTTTAACGTGTTAAATACATGTAAGTATTTTAATTAAATTCGTGTGTTAAAAATGAAATAATTATTTAATTACTATTATTTCTTTAATTATTCAAGTTCTCGCATCCTAATTCGGATTACTTTATGGGTTGTGGTACTCTTGTATTTTTGTTTTGAAAGTGTAATATGATGTACGTTTATTGTTTTGGAAGTCTTAACCGTTTTTTACACTAACAACACTTCCTATGTTTGTCCGAAAATCGGTTCGATAAGCACGAATCAAAGGAAAAACCCAAAGGGAGAAACATTCTAATTCATAAAAACGAGGAGAATCAATCCATACGCGTAAGGAAGACCATGGGGAATAAACATAAGATAAAAAACTAACATGCAAGCAGACGATGATAACAAAGTTAAATTGTCATATCATACATATCAATAAGAGAATCGGATTCTCTCCGCATCCAAAAGAACTGAGCCAAATGATCAAATGATCCGGACCATTGAAATTTGATACAATGGTTACAATTATTATAATTTTTAAAGAGCCCCCTATTTGTAGCCGTTAGATCAAATTTCAATTGCCCGGATCATTTGATGAGTGGGCTCAGTTTCTTTGAATCCGAAAAGGATCTAATTCCATCAATAATGTAAACCATTACAGAAGTATCAAGAAAAAGAATAAAAACTGACACGACATAAACACTTTCAAAAATTAAAAACTTTAAATACTAAATTACTTTATTGTATAATTGATTATTCTTGTGATACGATAAAAATGCATTTTATTATCAACCATTAATAATGAGTATTGTCACAGGTCAATTCTTAGTAAAGATTGGATACTCCGACCACTATCCATCTTTTTCTTTTTGAAAGTATGAGTAGAAATCAAAGTGGGATTTTTTGAAAAATGTAATTGCTCAAGGAAAAAGGACATACCCAAAAATGAACAATAGCTAAAGTCTAAATTTGATGCAAAAAACTAAAACTGAAATATGTCTTTCCTAATTGTCACAAACCCAGGCTGTCCGTGAATAACGAATATTACTAAGTTAGTGACATCGCATCGTACATGACAAATTCTGCTATAATCCTTTTTTAATTTAATACAACGTTATATTTATATTAAGAGTATAGATTGACTAAAGCACACAAGTTATAATAATTTAGTATCGAATTTGTTATGTACAAGAGTCGAATCTAAAATTTCTTACTTACACATAAAATATATATATATATTCGAATAGTAGTACTAAATGAATGTTCCTTTTCTCCTCATTAATTAAACATCGATTGTCTTTCAAAAAAATCATTTTGTAACTGTCACATCTCATATTGGCTCCGCCGTAACACGATATTGTTCACTTTGGGCCCCGGCCACGCCCTCGTGATTTTGTTTCTGGGAACTCACACGAGAACTTCCTAGTGGGTCACTCATCCTGAGATTGCTTTCGCTCGAACTCACTTAACTTCGGAGTTCCGATGGAACCCGAAGCTAGTGAGTTCCTAAAATGCCTCGTGCTATATGGAGGTGGGCATGTACATATAAGGCACATCACCCCCTCTTCGGAGCCAGTAACTTCGGAGTGTCGATGTGGGATCTTACAATTCACCCCCTTTAGGGGCCCGATGTCCTTATTGGCAAACTCACACCACACGGCAGAGTGGCTTTGATACCATTTTGTCACATCCCAAACCGGTTCCATCGTAGCACGATATTGTCCTCCTTGGGCCCTGGCTACGCCCTCATGGTTTTGTTTCTGGGAACTCACACGAGAACTTCCCAGTGGATCACCTATCCTGGGATTGCTCTCATCCAAACTCGCTTAACTTCGAAGTTCTGATGGAATCCGAAGTCAATGAGTTCCCAAAAGGCCTCGTGCTATATGGAGGTGGATATGTACATATAAGGCACATCACCCCCTCTCCGTTGGTCGATGTGGGATCTTACAGTAACACGACTTGTTCCTTGTTTTTATTGAGCACCTAATATAAATTATAATCGTTCGAGGATTTAAAAAATAAAAAAATAAATAAAAAAAACTATTTTATAACTAAATTGTTATTTTGCTACTTTAGGAATGTTACGAAGACTCTCTCACAAGTGAGACTATTCATGTATTAAAAAAACTAAAACTGAAATATGTCTTTCCTAAATTAAAAAAACTATTCATGTATTTTATAAGTGGTTGTCTACCAATAGCTAAAGTCTAAATTGAATGCAAAAAACTAAAACTGAAATATGTCTTTTCTATTTGTCACAAACCCAGGCCGTCCGTGAATAAGGAATATTACTAAGTTAGTGACATCGCATCGTTCATGGCAAATTTTGCTATAATACATTTTAATTTGGGAATTGTTATTTGCATTCCACAAATCTCATTTTGCACTCCAAAATGTCTATAATTAGAAAGAAAAATACACTTGTGAGGAGTGTAGAATGAAATTTTTGGAGTGCTACTAACAGTTCCCTTTAATTTAATACAACGTTATAATTATATTAAGAGTACAGGTAGACTAAGGCACACAAGTTTTAATAATTTAATATCGAATTCGTCATATACAAAAGTCAAAATTAAAATCTATCGCTTACAATAAAAAAAATAATAAATAAAACTATTTTCAAATAGTAGTACTAAATGAATTTTCCTTTCCTCCTCGTTAATTAAATATCGATTGTCTTTCGAAAAAATCATTTTGTAACACAACTTGTTCCTTGTTTTGATTGAGAACCTAATATAAATTATAATCGTTCGAGGATTTAAAAAAAATACTATTTTATAACTAAATTGTTATTTTGCTACTTTATGAATGTTAAGGAAACTCTTTCAAAAGTGAGACTATTCATGTATTATATGTTACATCGTTGTTTAACATCAAATTTCACACGCCAACATTATAAACATTATGTCAAAAATATGAAATGATATAGAGTCAATGGAGAGTCCCACTTTGAAAAGAACCTCATTAATATTTCTTTGCTTATCACATAAATGTATTATATACAATCAATCAACATCTCAACAGTTGCATGATAATTGTATTAAATATATGTAATTATTACAATTAAATTCATAATTTCTAACTAAAAGTACAAATCAAATATTGGAAAATTAGTAATTTCTAACTAAAATAGATTAAAAAAAATTAGATGATAATAAACAAAACAAAAAACATTTGACCCCTGAAAAAAAAAAATTTTAAATGTCACGTGCACAACACGTGGTGTGGTTGAGTGTGCGAAGGGTTTATGTGATGAGAGAGGCCGCATGCGGCTGTCCTCATGCAGAAAACGTAGGCGCGAGCGCAGGACGTGGAAACTTCGCACGTGTGGGCCCCGTGGTGGTACGTGTGGCGGAGCGCTGAGGTGTTGGTTCTTTTACGCGGCTAGCACATGTCTCGACGTGACCCCCGTACGGCGTCGTCTCTTCATTCGTTTTTCAGCCAAATCCCAACTTAACGAAAAGAAAGGACCATGTAGGGCCCCTCTAAGATCGCGTGCCCAAGGCAAAATATAAGTGGTTGTTATTACCTAGTACTTGCTAAATTATTAGGCGACAAGGATTGTCTCTCTTTCTGTGTTTTTCTGTTTGTGTAATTACGGTTAAGTTACATCAACATTTTATATTACTATTCATTTTCATCTTATTATCTCTATAAAAAAAATATATAAAATGTTGACGTGGCTTAACCGTGAGCACACAAAACAGGAGGGCACGGAAGGGCACCGGAAGTGGAAGGGCAGATAATCCTTGTCCCTTCAACCTTGACACCAGTTGGTTGCTGAATTTTAGGAATTTAGAATCTTTTAGTTTTTTGGTTTTTTGTCGAAACACGGAATTTAATAAAGACGAGTAGAAATACTTGCATCTTCTGCAGAGGTATTAAACAAGAAATCTAGCCAAGAACGTTCCAAATAGAAAAACCCCATGCAAAGCAGTAAATGCAGCAACCTTATAAGCTGTCATGTTTCCATAACATTTGACAAAAAGAAAGTTCACCACACCAATTTGAGCAACTAACAACCTGATATCATAAAGATAGCAACACTTAAGAGTCACATCTTCAGATTTCAGCCCGTTAAGCATTTGCACCAAGCAAAATAGTCAATAAAAAAAGACCTCAAATTTCATTTACCGTATTTCCTTTTCAATCGTTAGAATGCGTAATGCGATTAAACATGTATTAATTGTTCATAAACGACGACATGTATATAGGATTTTAAACTCGACCAGAAGAACTAATGACGACAAAATAGCTCTCCATTGACTGAAAAGCAATTTGCTTAGTTTTGGGCCGTTTATTTAACACGAATTGGAAGAGTTGATATCCACGTAAAGTTACCACTCCAATCTGCACTGTGTCAAGAAATGGCCCAATATAGATGGGACTTAATGGAACATAAAAAAAATGGATCTAATGTATCCAACTGGATCCTCTCTAGATCCTTTTGGTGAGGATCCTAGAGAATAATAAATCATGTATGTTCGTCGTATATCGTATTGTTAGTTTTTGTCAAGTACTGTTTGTATTTAATTTTAAATAAAAATTTCAGAATGAGGATCCGGTGTAAGGTTTAATTTTACAAGTATACAATATTCTAAATTACTTTTATTTGCATAAAACAAAAATTAACCTTGAGTACAATATTATATGTACAGTACCTTGGCCAATTGACTTAGTTTATATCTGGGATTACAATATTTTGATTTTGATGTATTCGTGTTTTGTTGAAGTTATTGAGAGCAATCTCTTGTGTAGTATGATTTGGGTAAACTTGGTGGGGTTTTTTATTTTTTTATTTTTATGAAACTGATTTCATAAGTGGCCCAAAACATCTTTAGAGCCCATAAGGTACAAAAATGGGCTTCTCATTCAAATTGGGCTAAAAAGGAAAATGTGTTTGAGTTTTAGCATAATCAATTCCTTCAACGTTTCTTTTAAGAGAAATGCTAAGAAAACTCTTTTAAAGTGAGAATTTTTATTGCTTTCTGCCACCTTACACTTTAACATTAATTTTTCTGTCAATATTAGTGCAAGTGGTGACAGAGAGTCCATGTAGTGTTCCATTTTAGAGAAAATCTCCTTATCATTTCTCTTCTTTTAAATTCCACTCAATAATGTCACGTCTTTTCCCAATTTCTTCTTTTTTCTTTACATTTAGTATTCTTTCCCTAAAAGAGGCTTCATTAAGCTTAACCTAAAACAAATATACATAAGAGTTTTTTCTTTTTTTTCAACATAAAATGATATAAGATGGATTACTCAACCAAAAGTCCAAAACAATCTAAAAAATAACAAAAATACAGATAAAAAGTTTCAAACGTTCAATGAAAGCATCGAATTTCAGTTTGGTCAACTATGGACTCGTTTAAGGATGATTTTAAAATGGGGTGTGCTATCCACACACCCATTTTTACTTCTCACACACCCTTGTTAATTTCTATCCGTTGATCTTCTTCAATTCATCCGATCCAACGGTTCAAAACCAAAAAGGTGTGGGAGAAGTAAAAAGGGGTGTGCGGATATCACACCCATTTTAAAATAACTGAAAGTCTTTTGATGAAAATGTATTTAAAACCAATCCTTAATAAAAATCCAAATAGATTATGAAAAAACACTTTAAATGCTTCCTGTAATAAACACATATATAGTGTTTCTTCCAAAATCAATTTCACCAAAAATAGCATTTAGTCACTTTAAAAACATTTTCAAACGAGCTTCAATGCAAGATTTTGTTTTTCTTTTCATTTGAAATTAAAGATTGAGTAAAATACAAACAAAAGGATCGATGTCATAAGATTGGGAAAAGGATTCTCTCCGGATCATTTTCATCAAATCCACCCATCAATCAATTTGCGTCCTTGAAATTTGATCAAACGGCTAAAGTTATTATAAATTTAAAAAGGCTTTCTATTTTTAACCGTTGGATCAAATTTAAAAAATCCGGATTAATTCATAGGGTGGATTTAGTTTTTTTTTTTTTTTTGAGGAAACCGGAAACCAGCATTCAAGGGCATAAAAGGCAGAGGGATACAAAGAGAGCCTAACGCGAGGCCAACAACTGAAGCAACACAAACAAAGCAGCAAAGGGGATAAAACAAGGACACTGGAACCAAATTCAAGTGTTACCCCAAGAACTGCTCATAAAGATGAAAGGGGACAAGGCAAACCATCTCTACTCAAAACATGAACCAACAAAGATGGAGGTCTGAGGACCCAAACACAATTGCATATCTCCGTAATACGGTGCGACGCCAAGAAATCCGCTGCATGGTTGGCTGACCTGGGAATCCAAAACCAACAACAATCATGGAAAGCTTCCCCATACTGTTTAACCTGAGATAAGGTGGGAAAAGCCCCCATCTGCCAGCATCCGATGAATGGGATAAAAATGAAATCGTGTCCTTCGAGTCAAATTCAAGAATTACCTGTCGAAGCCCTAACACAGTAGCAAGCTCACAGCCATGCAGCATAGCCACAACTTATGTGGTAGCACCATTAGGAGCAAAGACGGCATACCGTGCTGCAACAACAAAGAGACCTCAAGGTCCATGAATCACAACTCCAAGAAAACCCTTCCGCGTTAATGAAGACCAGCTGGCATCCACATTTACCTTGAGGAAAGGAGATGTGGGAGGTGACCTAACAACCGCTGGGGTCGCCACCCTAAAAAGAGCTGGGCTGGAAACAGACGGAGAAGCATTCACATGCAAAAAATGCAGAAGCCGAGGTATAAATGGTAAAAATACTTGAGAATGGTTGATTGAAGATTGATTATATAGAAATTGGCATCTAGCTTTCCAAATATACCAACAAGTAAAAGCCACATGGGAAAGAAAAAAGTAGTGATCCTCCTTCGACCCCAATCTCGTCGTCGCAATGGTTGAGAACTACTCAAGCCAAGAAGAAATGCGAGTGCGATTAATTCGATAGTTAAGAACATCACCAAACCAAATAGGCTCCACCCAAGGACATACAAAAAGGAGATGTTCCACAAATTCTTGTTAAGAATTACAGATTAGACATTGTGGTGATGAAACACATTTCCTTCTAAATAAGTTATCCATTGTAGCCAGAGCTCAATGAGCTAGTCTCCACATAAAACGTCGAAGTTTTGGAAGGGTACGCATTTCCAAATAATGTGCCAAACCTGTCGTGAAGGGGTATGAGAAGAAGAGGGTTGAGGATCAAGCCGAGGGCCATGTAAAGACCGTGCAAAGTAGTATTGTTGACCCTAAAAATTACAAAGCCTACGTGGCGCGCAGGCCGAGTAACTAATAAGCTAACTACGTCATTCGGTTGAATGCGGGGTGTGCCAACTCGTCGGTCGAGCTCGACCTAGGAGTAAAATTTGTTGATGTTGCGTTGAGCATGTTGCTAACTTCTTTATCCTGCGACTGCGGTCGAGGAATGAACAAATCTCGGCCTTCTGGTTCTTGAGCCTGAAGACAAGGCTGCTAGTTCTGCGAAGTTCACAAATCGTCGGCGTCAGATTCGGTCACGGTGATTATATTCGTGAGAGTATAAGCACGTCGAATCAACACCAGATTATATGGACACAAGTATTCAAAGGTAATGTGTGTCTTAATGGTAAATGTGGTTCGGCCCTCAGAATGCCGAACTCTGAAACTCACTTGGGAGTATCCAATCATAAAACCACTCGACGTTTAATGCACCGAATGTTGTAACTCGTAACACCTTATTTCGCCAAAAAGGCTAATAAGATGACCTCTGCTAATAAGGATTCAGAAACCCTTCTTGACCGAGACTTGGATAGGTAACCAGTCGGCCTCGACATAATGCTGTTTATCCAAACTGAAGGTTCTCCTTGGTCGGCTGATTCTACGACAACAATGTTGTTTATCCAAACTGACGGTGTTCGCCAATTGCCTTCACAGTGTTGTTTATCCAAACTGAAGATGTGTCGGCAAGAAAAAGGAAATAAAAAATCTCAAGATGTTTGAGAGGTTTTGCGCAGGGCAGTTGTGTGTTGAATTGGAGGTTCCTGAATTGCAACCTCCTTTCTCTATTTATAGCAGCAAAACCCAATCCTAACCATACTCGAACTAGGACTCCTTACCCCAATCCATCTTATCTCGGCCAATCCCACTTCTATTAGGATTTTGAATTCAACCTCTTACTAGGCCACATTCACCTCTACTTTCCGGTATCCTTATATAGCCGAGAATCCTTACTGCATCAGGACTTAACCACTTCATTCATCTGCTTCACAATAGGGCCCACCTACTTCCTATTCATCTGGAACATTCTTTTCCAAACAGGGCTTGGCCAACTTTTAGTTAGGCGGCTTATGAACCGGCTGGTTTGTAGAAATCCTCAAACAGAGCTTTTGGGCCGAGAACAATTCCATATTCGGCCCAACCCAATAATTTTAGGTCCAAACAAGTACCCAAACTTTACCGCATATGACTCGTTTTTGATGGAAGGCCAAACCAGACAATCATCGCAACAAAGATCTCCAAGATGAGTAGCCAAAATAGCAGCCATTTCCTTAGACGACAAAAAAGGGTGACGGAAGCTAAGGTCCCACGAACGGGAAGAAGGATTGATGAGAAATTAAACCCGAGTGGTCCGGGTGACCAACACATCTCCACAGGGCCTAAGGTGACCCAACGGAAGAGAAGGAAGCCATTTATCCACCCATAAACGAACAGAATTCCCGTTCATGATTTGCCAATTTGCCTGTTTCATCAAGAGATCATGACCGACTAAAAGGATTTAGTTGAGTAAAATACAAACAAAAGGATCGATGTCATGACAAATAGGTGGCGCATAGCTGCCACATGGCCAACGGTCGCTTGTCCGACGTTAACATTTTTTCTCCCATCTCATGCATGAAAAATAAAAAATGAAAATAAAAAAAAGAGAGATCCGAATTTTTAAATTATTTATTTTGCTTTTTAATTGACTTGTAGTCTTGTCGGCAAGGCAAAGAATTTCGCTTTCACTTCCTCAGTCAGAGACAGCCAGTACCCGCCCTCCACGCACCGATTCTTCCGCCCAAGTCCTCATTACACCAAAGAAAAATAAGAAAATCGAGATTAATTACCTTAATTAACACTCCATAATCTCAATTATATATATTGGCATTTACGACTCCATATCCCCGGTCCCCAGTCCCCAGTCCCCCAGTCCCTCTCTCTCTCTCTCTCTCTCTCTCTCTCTCTCTCTCTCTGTCTTACCAACCGACTAAGCTTCCCCAAATCTCGACCAAACCGATGGCCTTCGTTTTCGGATTAGTGCTCGGAATACTTGTCGGGCTCGCAATCATCGTCCTCTTTGTTCGGTTCGAGAACCACCGGTCCAAGCTCCGGTCCGAGCTCGCCACCACTGTGGCTGCTTTTGCTCGAATGACCGTCGAGGATTCCAGAAAGCTCTTGCCTCCTCAGTATTACCCTTCCTGGGTCGTCTTCTCTCACCGCCAGAAGTTGAGCTCCCAACTCTCTCTCTCTCTCTCTCTCGCTCGCTAGAATCTCCCGGGACTAATGTGTTTTCTTTGAAATTTTCAGTTGGGATGGCTCAATTCTCACCTCGAAAAGATGTGGCCTTATATCAATGAGGTAAAAATCCATCTGGGTTTTCTGCATTTCTTTTCAAAATTTTGTGAGTTTGTTAAATTTTGATGATCTTTTGAGGTGGGTTTCTAAAATTGGTGGTGTAGGCAGCGTCTGAGCTGATAAAGACTTCAGCGGAGCCAATTCTGGAGCAGTATAGACCAGTCATATTGTCCTCGCTCAAATTTTCCAAGTTTACTCTTGGTACGGTGGCACCTCAGTTTACAGGTGAGTTCAATTCATTTAATGATTGAAAAAAAAAAAGTTCTCTCTTTTCAATTCTTTGTGCTTGTTTGGAAAGTGGGTTTTCCTTATTTTTCACAAAGATGTCACATTTCCTTATTTTTTACCACAACTTGATTGAGTGTGTAGGTAATCCCTAAATATATCTATAATTCATTAATCTAGACATACTAGCACAAAACCAAGCGTAATGGCGTTCTAATATTCATACAACCTGGGATAAGGCTTTGTTGTTGTTTGTTGTATTGTATAGATGATAGCTGATTAAAATCTTCCATTTTGTTATGGCTTTAGTGTCATTAAAAACGGGAGCTTTAAATGAAGGGTTTGCAAAGCAATAAGCATTCATTAATGTTGGGGTTCTAATGAGATGGTTTCTTTCATTAGGGGTTTCTATAATTGAAGATGGAGGCGACAGTATCACTATGGAGTTGGAAATGCAGTGGGATGGAAATCCAAGTATAATACTTGCTATCAAAACTTTAGTTGGTGTAGCACTACCGGTGCAGGTAATCTGCAACTTAATGCCTACTTGCTTCTGTCAGTGTAGGTTTTTTCCAAAGCTCATGATGATAATACATACAATTTTGTGTCTGCATATGTCGATTTCAGGTGAAAGATATTGGATTCACGGGGGTATTCAGGCTGATTTTTAAGCCTCTGGTTGACGAGTTTCCGTGTTTTGGAGCTGTTTGCTATTCATTGAGAGAAAAGGTAGCATCCATTTCAAGTTCCAAGTGTAAAAGAATTTTAGAGGGAGAAGTTTTGTACTGATAATATAATTTATTTTACACATGAAAAGGGAGTTCCATGAGACGAAGGTTTGCACTAACTTAGCATATTTGTAGGATTATTTATATTCTGTTAGTGAATAGCTAGCTATGCAATTAGATTACCAGAGACACTCAACAACACTAATGTAGCAACTGTGTTGTTTTATTTGCAGAAAAAGTTAGATTTTAAGCTTAAGGTTGTGGGTGGCGACATATCTACATTACCTGGGATATCCGATGCAATTGAGGTTTGAACTATTCCATTAATTTTTCTTTCATTAATTGAGTCTTGCACTTATGTATGATTTTGTAATGTCTTGTGACATGATCTTTATTTGAGTACTTGCATGAGTTGGCAATGTAAATGTCATACTTAATGTTCTGTCCTGTAGTGAAAATTTCAAGTATCAGTTGGGAAAACAGTATTTAGGATTGACCTGGTCAATGGAGCTAGGATTTAGAATTACAGAGTGCTGATACTCCTGTAAAAGTGTGCCTTCAGTTCAAGATGAGGTTGTAGTGTTTCCATTATTGTCTGGAATATGCAGACATCGGGTTCCATAGATCCTTGCTTGTGAATTGCATTAAACCAATACCAATTGTGAAACGGCTGTACTGGATGAGTTTGCAAGAAATGTATAGCAGTCCACTAGTCTTTCAGCAATATAAGACTTAATAGGTCTTATTTCATGCATGATTATCGTGCATGTTTTGCATAATATGCAGGATTTGTTTTATCATACATACTTGGTTTAATTGAGATGCAAAATTTTTATACAGGGGACCATACGGGATGCTGTTGAGGATTCAATTACATGGCCTGTTCGGAAGATTTTTCCCATTTTGCCCGGGGATTACAGGTAAAGCAGAACGCACAGGATTGTCCCTATGTCACCTATCAATATTGTTAATCGTTTATTCTATGGTTTATGTTATCAGTTTATGGTTATTTTCTTCATATTTTGATTAACTTCATTTGGTTAGTGATCTGGAGTTAAAGCCAGTCGGAGTGCTAGAGGTGAAACTTGTGCAGGCAAAGGAGTTAACGAATAAAGACATGGTGGGAAAATCAGATCCCTTTGCAAGACTATATATACGACCTTTACCAGACAGAATGAAAAGAAGCAAAACAATTGTAAATTTCGGATCCTCTTATATATCCATTCATTTTACTTATTTGTTTTTCTTTTAATTAGTTTTGAAGAAATTCTATGTTTTTGTCTTCCTCTACAGAACAACGATTTGAATCCCATCTGGAATGAGCACTTTGAATTTATAGTTGAAGATGAAACGACTCAACATTTGGTGGTTAAAGTTTATGATGATGAGGGACTTCAGGCGTCTGAGCTCATTGGATGTGCTCAAGTACAACTGACTGAACTTCAGCCTGGTAAAGTGAAGGATGTATGGTTGAAGCTGGTTAAAAGCTTGGATATCCAAAGAGATAATAAAAACCGCGGGCAGGTTAGAAGACTAATATTCATCCCATAATAAATAGCAACTAATTTTGAAATGCATTCTGGATCCTACTATGGTGGGCTATTGGAATTTACACTTTTCTGTGGATGGCTATTGGATTTTGAAATTAGAAGATCATTTTATATGCTCCCACCCACTATAGCTGTTTTTTCTTTCTGATGTATTCTGAAAGAAAATTTCACCTTTTTAAAATGTTTTTCTTTCTGTTTTAGGTGCATTTGGAGCTGTTATATTGTCCATTTGGCATGGAGAATGGCTTTGCTAATCCTTTTACTTCCAACTCCGCAATGACCTCTTTGGAAAAGGCACTTAAAAGTGGAATGAACGGAGCAGATGCTACTGAAAGTGAAAAGGAAGCCACACAGAAAAGAAGGGAGGTCATAATTAGAGGTGTACTAACTATTACTATAATATCTGCTGAAGACTTGCCACCTGTTGATCTGATGGGGAAGGCTGATCCTTATGTGGTGCTCACCTTGAAGAAATCAGGAACGAAAAACAAAACTAGGGTAAGATTCCGAGTGCCAGAAGACTGTAGATACCTATTTTTCTTCTTTGGACAAAATTATTCCTGTAGTTTGATTCCTCGTAGAGCTTGCTGCCTTGTTTGATCTGTAGGTTTTGTTGATCCTTAATTTTTTATTTTCTTTTCTCAGGTTGTTAATGAGAACTTGAATCCTGTTTGGAATCAAACTTTCGACTTTGTTGTCGAGGATGGATTGCATGACATGCTCATACTTGAAGTCTGGGACCATGACACTTTTGGCAAGGTAATACTGTTTTCAGTTCTCCATTTGGTTTTTCGAGCGTAGTGGCAATGTTTCTAAAGTGTCTCATGGTAGCTTAGACCTTTACTTTTGAACTTGTGCTAACCTAGGTCCTTTCCATATCGTGCAGGACTATATGGGCAGATGCATCTTGACCCTCACTAGGGTCATCTTAGAAGGGGAATACCAAGACTCGATACCGCTAGATGGAGCCAAATCTGGGAAATTGAACGTGCATCTTAAGTGGAATGCACAACCAATTTACCGCGAGTCTTGATTGATCTCTGTCAACTGTTGTATGGATAACAGTATATGGACGATGTACTACCCGCCCGGAGATGTATACAAAGAGCACCAAAGACACCTTCATTTCACACATGCTTGTTGATTCACAAACACTGGAAAGTACTCAGATGGTGTACATAGTTGTTTCATAGTACCTGTCATAAATGTAGTGAAGCTGTAGCATGTATACCAATCAAATTCACGGCCTCGGCCGGGAATTACTCGATTACTGTTTGCTTGGATTGTCGGATTATCGATCTCTGTGTTTTGAAGCGGGATTCTGCTTCTTCACCTTTGGTTACCCTTTATTATTCCATGTTTTTCAGCTACATTGTGGTTTTTATGGAGGGGTTCTTATGCCTCGATACGACGGAGCTGCCCGCCTGGCTGCCGCGGAAAATGCAAGTTAATAGGATCGGATGCCACATCGTGAGCTTTGGTGACACTTAAACATCTCGGCCGAGTTACTTTTAGGCTAGATTTTCTCACTTGATCGAGGGGTCTCCAACGACTTGGTTCCCTTATTTGCTTGCATTTTTTTCCCCAATTGCAGTTATGTGGGACTTAGTTCTAGTGATTTGAAATGTTAAAGCATGTCTGAGTTCATAAGATCACATCTTTTTTTATGGGTGGAAAATGCTGACAACCTTCTTAGCTCTTATACAGCAATGTTGCACGATAATTTGAACAATATTTTCCAAATCACTTTTCAAAGATTATCTCTGCAAAAATTAACTAAATTAACTAAACTAACCAAATTTAAAATCGTGCAGGCATCCAACGGCTATTCAACGTATTGACAAAACATGTTTCTACCTAAAACACTTAAATTTTGGAGGTTCTAATCATCAAACAACATTTGTCATGTAAAAAGAAAAGCAGAAATGGTAATCCGAGCGAACATCACCCTTTTGTATTTAAATTTAACTCCTTAAAAGGGTCGAAACAGTAGCAAAACAAAATAAAAATCCAATGCTATAACATATTTTTCATTTCAAAACTTTGTTGCCACAGTTAGTGGCAGCTCCAATACCATGAACAAGTAGCCAACCAACAAGGGATCGTATTGCTTATTTATGCACGTCTCTATACAAGCTAATCCGATGTTTCAACTTTCACGCATCTCTGCATCCTTCAATCAGATATTCATCTAGCAAAAGACCCCTTAAGACGCGATCGATCTTTTTTTCAATACATAGCAATTTCGTCCATTGTCTTCCTAACATTATGCTTCTTCAGTTTTCGCCTCCTGTGATTCGTACTCCTGCATTACCAAAACTCAAATCATATCAAACACATTTACTAATTTGCATTACCGAAAAGTGAATTGCTCGCTGTTTTGGCACCAAAAACATGAATACCGTATGGCTATACTCACCAGTACTGGTTGTCTAATACAAACGCGTCCATTGCGGTTTTCTTCCCATCGTCATTGCGGTTCCAATGATAGAGTGCGTGTGTCCTGTTTATAAGCTCAAGCGTGGAATGCCCGTAGCTGGCTTCTCGGAACGCAGAATAATCTGGTTGTGGATTCCTAAACCTACAGAAACCAGTGGAGAAATTGTTAGTCATGACTGTCTGCACAAAAAGAACTTGATTTCCCTACAGATTGTTAGTCGTCTTATCTGCGTAATGAAATTATGTTTCTTAATTATGCTATCATGTATTTCGACTGATCTTAACTTATTAACGGAACAAAAAGTGTAATCGAAAAAACTAGAATAAAGTTCTTACCTTCCAGCAAGTCCTTCTTGGTTCCCTCCATCTCCAACAGTTATGTACACAGGAGCCGATTTATCTGGTATCGGGTACTGGTAACCGCTTGTTACGTTGTATCGTATATTGGAGATTCGATACTGAAAATAAAGGCGAAAGGAAAACATAAATCTCAATCTAGCGATGAAAAGTGTAATTGATATAAGATGAACTAGCACAATATGTATGAACGAAACGAAAAGCCCGTTAAGTATTACAAACTTCAATGGACCTCCATGCCAGAATAACAGACTGTTTGTGTACACACGAAGATGAATGGAATTGTAAGACTGTACTCCAATGTTGAATGCCGTAGTCATGACTATAGTATCAACTACACCATATCATATGATAGGATGCGATACAAAAACATATAAGGTAAAGAATCATACCGATCTCTCATAAGCATGGACATGGCCAGCAAACACCACATCAACTTTGTATTGAATGAACCATCTCTCAAACACTGCTCGCATGCTTTCACCTTCCATGTAATGAACAGTCGTTACTATTGTATAATGGAACATGCATAAGGACTATGAGCCAAGGTGTCTTTTCCCTGTCAACCCTTTTCAATTCTTCTGCAAGCCACCTCCATTGAGGCGTGTACTTCACTGGTGAGAAAGTTAATAGATGATGTAAGGTATACTGGCACAAAAAAGTCTGTTCACATATTTGCAAGTGTAGGAATGTACAATTACCAAATGGAGAGTAACTGGACAACACGATTATATGAGTTGATGCACGTCTGATGGCATACCAAAGAGGATTGCTACTATTAGAGGCCAAATGAGGAGTAGCATACCGATGAAGATAGTTCTTGAATGGAGTAACTTCTCCCTAGAATATGTACAAAAGTATTGGTTAGATAAAGCAACAATTTTTAGGTTGCCCTGTTAACATGATAGGAGTTTCGGAACACAACAAATCATGTACATAAACTTATTTGGATATCAGTAGAATTTTACAACTTTTTGATGTCGTGGATCTATATTTTCATCCAATACAGTTCTAGGCGTTCTAGGATTCACACAGCCGACCCACTTAGTGGGATAAGGTTTTGTGTTGTTGTTGTTGTTTGTACGGTTCTAGGGTCACGGAACAATAAAAAGAGACTTATAGCGACAAAAGTAACTCAGACAGTTCTGTAAAGCTATGCTTGATACTTTACCATATAAGGCATGTAATCAATTTCATGATTGCCAGCAGACCACATCCATGGCTGATACGCAGTACTTTGCTCGACGAATCGACCCCATGTGTCCCACCGTAAACCCACTTCATTATACTGATATCTATCAGCATAGGAAAGATCTCCAACGAATAAAACAGCCTGTCCTGAACTCTTCATGTAGTGCTCAAGAGTTGACAGAGAGTTAAATGTCTGACCCAAATCACCTGCAACATACAGATAACGATTTATCGGGAGAAACTACAATATTCAACATTATTTTACACACAATGATAAGAATCCTAGGATACAAGTATATCGGGCCGTGGTCACAGCATAGAGAAACTAACTGTTATCAGACCCTTTCCAGAGAGAAAACAACTCACCTATGATCCCAAATGTGTAATGAGAATTTGGATCGATCTTTGGAGGTGTTGTAAACCAAAATTCTCGAGATGAATCGCCATTTCCAATTTTGTAATAGTACTTTGTGTCATACTGTAAACAAGACATAATTGAAGGTTTAGTGAAACTATAAGCAAGAGAACGAACAAGTTTGTATATTGCGTCTAAAACATTGAACAAGGTGGGAACATAGGTTGGGAAACTTGGAGACACCAATTCACAGAGTCGATTAAAACTTTAAATTTACGTTGTTAACTGAGAAGAAATCGTTGTCACAAGATTTTCATAATAGGCAAACCCAGAGAGTAAACATTTCACCACATATGCTTCTACTAGTATACTTCACAAAGTATTAATCATGGTTACCTCTAGGCCATCGACAAGACAGTGATGGATGTAGCCAGACTTATACTGGTAGAAGGTGTAGTTTGTCACGACACCCTTAGCAGAAAACTCGTATTTTTTCTCTGATGTACCATACTGCACTTTACTATCCCCTGGTTCGTTGGCCGTAACCCATGAGATGATTACAGCCTTTCCATCATAGTCACCTTGGGTGATATGCACCTGCAATGAATGTTTAAAGTGTATAAGAACATTACAGCTCAAAACATCAATATTAGTAAAGGATTTTCATCCTATTCGTATTAAATATAGCACTTTTGATTTAATCAAAATTGTTGGAAGAAATCAGGAACCGTAACTTTCCACATCCCGAATTCTGAAAACCTGTAAAATGTGCCTATTTTTCTACAGCAATATCAAACAGCTATGAATTCTCACTTGTTGTGGAGCATTGTAACCCTTTGTCACCGCAAATACTTTATTGTTCAGAGGGATGTCAACCGATGGATACTCAGATCGAATGAAAGTACTCGTGATTCCTGCAGCATTCCCACTCCTCACAACGCTCAACAAGACGAAGGAGGTAAGAATAATTTGAAGCAGCGTGGACTCCGTCTAGTAACAGCTGCCGTCATTGTTCATTCAGCAAATTACACTAAAACTAACTCCACCTACAAGAAGAATAAGAAATAAGCAATCAGCCATATCAGCAACCCGAAAAACCAACTGAAGAAGAAACATTTGACGAAAGGGGATAAAAGACAATTTCTGTGATCCTCCTCTCAATCGAGGCCACATCAAATTTTCACAAACCCTTCCAATTTTTACTTGAAAAACTTTGCAATTGCAAATTCCAACAATCCAACAAGATCAAAGCACCAAAATTTATTCAAAAAAATTACTTGTTAAGAGTTAGAGATGGATATAAACAGATGATTTGAGTAAATCAAACATAACCAAACCCATTGAAATTCCAATTGAATTTCTGCTGAATACAAACATTTCCAATCCACATTAACACACAGGAACATAACTAAACAACTAAAAATTCATTATAATTGAATAATTAGAACTAATATTCTGCCAAATTAAATAGATCAAACAGAAAAAAAGAAACTTTCAAAGTTAGAGAGAGAGAGAGAGAGAGTACCAGAAATTTATAGCTTGAAGAGGTTGAGGAGAGAGAGCGAACGCAGAGAGGGGAGAGAGAGATCGTGTGAACTAATTATTAGTTGGAGGGGGAAGGCGTATATTAGTGGGCATCCGATGAGTTGACGTGGTGTGGCGTAGGTTAGAGGAAACTATAACCTCGGACCATTCGGGTACAGGCGACGAGATTGGATTGGTCTGTTGAGGCTTTTATGAAGGGATGTGTTATCACACGTCTTATTTTACTTCTCACATATTTCATGATAATTTTTGTTCATTAATCTTCTTCAATTCATTCCATCCGACAGCCGAAAATTAAAAATGTGTGTGAGAAGTCCACACACCCTTATGAAAGGGACCCACACACGGTCCCAGCGTGTCTGTCAAAATTCAAACGAGGTGGTACATTTTTGTCTTTTTATAAAATAAGGAAGTGTTATTGGCACTCCAAAAATCTCATTATACA